GAGAGATGGTAATTCCCAAGTGAGAGTAACTCCAGCTCTGCTAAAAGGTAACCTCTGAAGCTGCCGTAGCTGATGAACCTTTAATGGAATACTTGGCGATATCCTCATTGTCCTACTGAAGTTTCATAGCTCAGGCTAACACTACTGAAGTCTCCCAGCTCAGGCTGACACTACTGAAGTCTCCTCCAGCTCAGGCTGATACTATTGAAGTCTCCTCCAGCTCAGGCTGATACTGCTGGTCTCCCAGCTAAGGCTGACATTTGTGATGAATGGTTTTGAAAACCGACAAGTTGAAGAATTGAGACACTTATGCAACACATGGGAATCTTTATTGAAGAAACGTTTCGCCACACAGTGGCTTCATCAGTCACTGATGAAGCCACTGTGTGGCGAAACGTTTCTTCAATAAAGATTCCCATGTGTTGCATAAGTGTCTCAATTCTTCAAGGCTGACATTACTGAAGTCTTTCAGCTCAGGCTGGCACTACTGAAATCTCCCAGCTCAAGCTGACAGATGTCTACAGCTTGTATGAGCACCATCCAGTGTACTGGAATATGACAGGGAAACTACTATCGTGTGTTTCCAGTGAGTAATTAGCATAGTACAGTGCAGCAGCACACTGCTGATGTATCCAATCATGCTAAATCTCTCTCTCTCTCTCTCTCTCTCTCTCTCTCTCTCCTTCTCCCTCTCTCTTCTCACACATACACACACTTAGACACATACATACAACATTGTCATCCACAACACTGTATACACCATATTTCAAGTTCACAAAGTCCAACTCTCAACGTGAATAATGATGATAAATGAGAAATTTTTGCAACATTTAAGTATATTTTGGAAACGTTTCGCCCGTCAGTGGCTTGTTCAATACAACGCAGAGAAAGGTGGAACGGAAGAATCCACTGACTGGCGAAACGTTTCCAGAATAAAGATACCCAGATGTTGCACAATTTTCTCATTTACCAACTTGTCGGTTTTCTAAACCATTTAGTCAAGTGGATAATAATGAAAGATGAGATCGTTGATCTACGCTGAACTAACAACTGAGGCCACACATACCGTAGGTAATGTATTATGAATCCAAAGAAAACCCGAAGAATCACAACAAATAACGTTTAAAAAGTCGTTGATAATATTCAGGGTTCATAACTTCAACATTCCAGCAGTAAATATAAGAAATTGGATCCTCTGGTGGTGGGCAGCATTAGTTAACAGTTTATTGTTCGGGCTGCGAGATCGGAAAATTAATAACGTTGTCGAAGACAGTTATAACAGGAATTTTCTACTCTACTTATAGACGGGATTTTAAGATAAGTGGATGCTCATGTGTGTGTGAGAAGTATAGCCCTAAGGTATAATAAACATAAATCATCCAAAGTGCTGTTTGCAGATGACAAAATACTGAGATTCAGAAGAGAATTTGCCGCAGCTGGTGGAAGACTTTGAAGGAAATTAAAAGCGAGTAAAGAGTAATGTGAGGAGATTTAGTTACCATAATATGAAGTGAAAGATTAGAAGTCAGAATCGAATGGAAGGTGAGGATGTGAATGTATTTAGTTGCATCAAGTAGAGGGATGTGTCTATGAAACATTAGGACGAATCACAGTAACGTTGTATGTATAATACAAGTAATGAACTTATAAGGTTGTATTGTGGTTTGAAATATTTAATTCAAAGAGTGTCAGAGTGATTGTTGAAGTGGTTCGGTCATGTAGAGAGAATGGCGCAAAAGAAATTGACAAAGTGGGTGTATATATCTAGTATGGACAGAAGGAATGATTTAAAGGAGAACCTAGGAAGAACTGGAAGGTGGGTGCGAAATTACTCAAGCTGCTATAATGAGACGCCAGATGTTGGAACACATAAGTATTATATATCAAAATGGAGGCGAGCGGTTCTCGGGATTTGGCGACCTGTTGGAGTGTAAGGGAAGTGAAAATCGCGAAACGATTCCGGAAAACTGGAAAGCCGGACTAAAGTTTTGTTACGCTAGGGACTACAGTGCGTAACAGTGCGTCACATTGTAAACTAATTTGTTTACCTGGAGAGAGTTTCGGGGGTCAATGCCCCCGCGGCCCGGTCTGTGACCAGGCCTCCTAATATAAACCGAGACCAAAATTACGTATTAATTATTTTGGGGGGTTAATATAACATTAATTAAACCTAATTTACGTATAGTTAACCACCAATAACTTAATTACAAAGATTAGAGCAAAATGGAGAGATGTACAAGGTCAGCAAACAACCGCACTCCGGAACCTTATTACGATGTTACGATCCATCCTCGACCTGTGTTACGTTACAACTGTAACGAGTGACCCACACAGGTCTGCAATGTTCTTCTCTTCTCTGGCTCTCATGTACTACTACTACTACTACTACTGCTATTATTACTACTACTACTGCTGCTGCTATTACTACTACTGCTGCTGCTGCTATTACTACTACTGCTGCTGTTATTATTACTACTACTACTATACTGCTACTACTACTACACTACTACTGTTACTACTACGACTACATTACTGCTACTTCTACTACTACTACTATACTGCTCCTATTAC